ACTTTAAAACAAAACTTACAACAGTTACTTTTCTCAACAACTGAAATTTAGAATAGTGTGATTAAGAAAAATATGTGAACTGTTTGCAATTTCAAATTAATATTGAAATGCACAGGTTTAGAATTTTCTACAGTGAAAAGTTTTCGGAACTTCAGTGTTCAAAAAAGTATACAAAAGCTAGACGTTAAGAACGTATCCAATGAGCGAGTAAAGCGAGCATCGGATTACGAAGCAATCCGAAATGAACTGCGAAAGCAGTTCCGAGGGTTGGCGAGCGCCAGCGAGCAGGGGGCGAAGCCTCCTAGTATATAATTATTCTTTTTTGTGTTTTGCTTTCTTCACTTCAGCTGCGATAGTTATGTATGCTTCTATAGTGATAAAATTTATAATTTTTCAGAAACTGAGCAGCCATATACCACCGACATTTTATCAACCACAGACTGGATAGATCCTACTTTTAGCACAGGTAAAAGGACTTAATGAAAATAAAAATAAATTTGTTTGTAATTCAAAGTATTTAATTATAGCTATATATAATTATTCTTTTTTGTGTTTTGCTCTCTTCACTTGAGCTGCGATAGTTATGTATGCTTCTATAGTGATAAAATTTTTAATTTTTCAGAAACTGAGCAGCCATATACCACCGACATTTTATCAACCACAGATTGGACTGATCCTACTTTAAGTACAGGTAGAAAGACTTGATGAAATTAAAAAATAAAATTGTTCGTTATTCAAAATAATGATTATAGCTATTTATAATTATTTTTTTGTGTTTTGTTTTCTTCAGTTCAGTTGCGATAGATATGTATACTTCTATAGCGATAAAATTTTTAATTTTTCAGAAACTGAGCAGCCATATTCCACCGACATTTCATCAACCACAGATTGGACAGATCCTACTTTTAGCACAGGTAGAAAGACTTACTGAAATTAAAAATAAAATTTTTAATAATTCAACAAATTTTCATACTTGTATTCATAATGATTCTTTTTTGTGTTTTTTTTTTATTTAGTTCAATAGCGTTAGTTACACATGTTTCTATAATGATAAAATTAATAATTCTGCAGGAACTGAGTAGCCATATTCCACCGATAGTTCAGGAACCTCCGATTGTACTAAAGCTATTTGTAGTACAGGTAGAAAGTCTTATGGAAGCCCATTTTTGTGATTGACTTTCAGCATAAGAGTGGCTACCTTACTTGTCATATTTGAATCCAATATTTGTTTTTTATTTGGTTTTCCTGAAACTTTCTTTAAAGTCTTTTGATTTTTCAAAAAGAAAATTTTTTTTGGTAAAATGGAGCATAAAAAGTCAGGTAATATAGTTATTTGGAAATATTGCAATTTCTGCCTTCAGCAGAAAATTTTATGCTACATTTACAGCACGTATTTAATACATAATGTAGCCGCTTTGAAATTGTGTGTGTATATTACATGTATTATTGTTTACATGATTTTTAGAATGTTCATTGTTACATTTAAAAAAACTTTACAATAATTGTGTATGTGTTTTTAATTTTTTAATACCATGTAAATAATAAAACCGACACTCTTTTCCTACTCTTAAACATTAAGTTCTCTCTGTCTTGGAGAAGGACTCGTATGACAGCAGAATCTGTAGTCATTTGTGGCTACACGGAGAAAAAGATGCATTTAATTTTGGGACTTTAATTTTACCCTACTTTCACCATTCGAGATGTTAGCCATACCTATCGAGCTGTCAAGAGTAGCCATAGCTATTGAGAGTATTCCAGGCAAATGGAAAGGAGAGTCTCTTTATTAGATAGAAAAGGGGTTACATTAAAAATTATTTTTTTTCATCATTTTGTACATCAAGTGAAATACTGAGTTCTGCACTTTTTTGCATTATTTCAGCTGGTGTTTGTGACTGTGGCAAACATTCAATTGCATGCTATTTAGATAATGAAGGAAAGAAGATGTGTATATGCGACGTTGGGTATTCTCAGTTGTTCCACACATGTATTGGTAAGTTTCTTATATTTCTCTTCCGTTTAAATACACATTTCATAAATTTCAAGGCTGAACAAATATTGGGTAGTTTTTATTTGTTCTCAAATATGTAAATCTCAACGTCTTACTTTGTTTATGTCAAGAATCGTTTGATTTTATGAAATGTAGTTTCTCAGTTTGACATCTCTTTCACTTTAGAATGCTATAGATAACATAATTAAATGTTTTTCTTTTAATGTTTTTCTATAAGAAAAAAAATACAATGAATCGCTGAATTTTTAGATTTTTTTGTATTCTTTTATACTTTAAGTGAAGAGAGCTTTCTTTTTTTTTAAAGCAAAAAGGTAACGACTGTTCCTTAAGCTAACAACAGAGACATATACGTCTTGTTAATTTGAATAAAAAGCAGATCTTGGTTAAAGAACTCTTGGATGGAGAATTTGGGCAAACTACTTATCATAGGGAACTATATTATGGAAATAATTTGCCTTAGCATTATATACGAAGAAAACCCCGAAAATCTCATCTCGTCCGGCAAGAGGAATCTTATAGAAAAATGCATGGGGTTATAAGGGAATCGCATACTTTGTTTTTAAAAGGTTTTTGCACCAAAGAAATTTCAAAACACTTTTACTAGAACTTTTTAAAGGCATTTAGAATTTCGAGTGATTAAAATGAAAGCTATTGCTCATTAATGTATGTATTGGAACAATATTTTCAGAGATATTAGAAACCGGAACGTAATTGTGTTGACTGTGTGAAAATTCAACGAGAATCAAATCCAGTTCAAGTATATTCATCATCTCTTTGGAAACATACTTGTTTTACCATTTTTCAAACATTATTTTTTCCCAACAGTTTATGGCTCATTCTAAATGGCTTGAAGCTTATACTATTAAAACTATTACTACTCATGTCTATATCGATTGTGCAAGAGACGGACTTCCCAGATTTGATCTTCTAATTACCCTAGCCAGTGTAAGCAGTCTACAGTTAGTTACTGAAAAATATTAACAATTCTTAAGATGAAATGGAATTCAGCACAATACTTGCGCTTTATAGAAATCATCAAGTAATAGCCAGGCAGAAAGAAATATTACTATCTTTTTCTGTTACTATCAAAATAAAATAAAAAAAATCTCGGTTTTCTATTAAACTTTATTGAAAGCATTGAGCCTTCGAAGATAGAGCCTTAAGCGAAAGACAGAGATAGAGCCTTCAAATAAGAAGGTTGGAAATGCCGAGGACAATGTTTTACGTTTGTTTTCTAAGAATCTGAACGTTTTCAAGTATTGAATATCAATACTAGGTTATTTTTTAACACTCACTTTAACGACAAATTATTTTTCACTATTTTTATAGAGAGATCAAGTTTGGAATTTGAATACCTGATAACTTTTACAATTTTTGCCAATGATATTTCACAGTTGCAATTGAAAAGTAGAGTAAATGCAAATAAATAGCAATTTTTTAAAAACTTTTTCAGACTTTTACATTTGCAAAGAAGAATTTTCAGGTTTCTTGTTTACTTTTATCTTCTCTTTATGTTGAAATAATTAATCTTCTTGAATTTACACAAAATTTCTTTAATCAATCCTATAACATATTTCTCGCAATGGTGAGAAAAATTACTAACTATTTCACACTTAATGTTGATGTAGTTATTCAGTTAAAGTAATCAGCCGCTTATTAGAATCGAAGCCATCGAATAACGATGAGGGTATCAACATTATTTAATTAAAAAAAAAAAATTGGAGAATAGTTTCACTCCTCCATTAATTTCTGAAGAGTTTAATTCAAAATAGGAGAGTAAAGTTAAAAAGAAAGATTATATGTTTGTATATATCCACCATTTTTTAACACATAAATATTCTAACATACGTAACTCAAAAAGCATTTTTACGCATTATTTCTAATCATTTTTACACTTTATGTAAATTAGAAAAAGTTATTTTAAAATCAAAACAGCGAGACAATTATTGAACTTAAATTTAATGCATTTTCCCCCCAATTTTACAGCTTGTTCAAAAATTCGTGTTAATTTCCTGATTGACGTGAAAAGGATCTAACTTTTTATTTCAGATTTATTTTACTTTGAGTGGTAAAAAATTGTTTGCCATCAGCTGTAGTCAGTGGCAGTGTTACAGCAATATAAATCATTTTGTTTTTCAAACCAGGATTCATGAAAGAATTGTCACTACCATCATCTCATTACACATTCGGTTCATGATATTTCGTTCCTTTCCTTTTGCTCCGGCTGTTTCGTTTCAATTACAATTTCAGCCTCAACCTGATTCAGTCCCGTTACTAATTCCATTCTTTTATTTTGATGTTTGAATTCCATCCCATTTCTTACTTTTTACATAATTTTTTTTCTGTCTAATAAATTATTTTCCTATTACTTCCGGTGATAGAAAAGCAAGATTTTTGAATTGTTATTAAGCATTTAAAAACTATTACTTGTGATATTAAAAGTACAAATTATTAAGAATATTTATGGAGGAATTATTCAAAATGTTCCAATAAGTTAGAGTAAAACTTCTTTTAAGTTCCAATGAAAGCTATCGTTTTTTGCATTGCTTTATTTATATAATTGTACAAATTATTGTGCATCAAAGCATTATGATTGCAAAGTTTGGTAAACAAATAAGTGAATAATTTATATGTTTACCAGAAAGTATTGAAGTATAACTATGTCTTTCTATGCTATCTAGCGCGACGCGGTCTGTCTGGAAACTTTTTCAGAAAAATTTTAACTTGGAAAAAAATGTCTTAAAAGAGGTTAAATGTTTGATGTTCCGATATACAATGAAGAATAAATCAAAGTATATATTTCCTNAAACATACAAATTTTTATTTGCAAAGCAACTTTGCAACAACAATTTAAGTATGAATTTGAATATATATATATTAATAAAAAGATTTGTCATTAAACTTTTATATATATATTTCAAATGAATTTCTTCATAATTCACGAAAATTTTTTTTGATTGTTCATCTCCTTCGTAGTTTCAATTTCTAAAGCATAAAAATACTTGTATGTAAAAAGGTAACAAGAAAAAAAAGTTTCGTAGCAATTTTTAAGTTGTGTATATTTATTTGTAAATTTAAGAACCGTCTTAGAGTTACGCTGTTTGTCCATTCTCTTTACTATCCCTTCTCCGTTATCATGGCTTCAGCAAGTCTTGTTTTGTTTTTTTCCCACGCCCGAATATTTCAATTACTCATTGAAATGTAGTTCCGTGGGGAAAAACGTAAGATTTTCCCAAACCATGATTACGGAGAAGTTGGAAGTATAGAACGAAGAACATTGTGTCGCTTTAAGACGTTTATTCTACCGTGCAATATAAAATTGAACGTAAGCTACAAAAATATCAATATTGGATTTTTTTTTTTTATGTTTTGAATTTTTATATGATAACCTACTATTTGCAATTTTCTTTTTCAAAAACCAAATTTTGGAATTCTATTTTAGCGTTAGAAATAGAAAGAAAATCGCTGCCATGCCGCTTTTTCTCGAAATCTATCGTTAAGTTTGTTTTTTTTTCAATTGCATGCATCATTCTGTTTGCAAAGAATATAATTTTCCGATATACTATATGAAGAGTAAATCAAAGCATATATCTTCTTTCTTAGATTGTTATTGCGGCGAAAAATCATTTGGATGCTTCTTTGATAAAAGTAAGGAGAAGAAGTGCTTATGCAAAGAGGGTTATGCTCAATACCAAGAAGCATGCAGAGGTATTTAATATATCAGGTGTACCATTATCACAATTCTTAGTATACATTTTCAGATTCCCATTACTATTTTTTTAACGACATTTTTAGACGTTAAAATGTAATATTTTCACAAAAACAAGAAATTTGGAGGAAATGTTCTCCAAACAGTTCCTTATTATTTTTGTGATAAAAATTTACATATATTTAAAAGCAATCAAAAACTTGCAACAAAAAAGCACATTCGGAAGAAAAATTATTTGTTTGAAAAAAAACAATTTCGGAGATGAAATATGTTTGAAACATTTTATTTTATATTTAATAACGCTCAGCGTAGAACAGCAGATCCAGTTTCGGGATAACGAGTACTAATGGTCAACTCCGTAACCTTGTTATTTCGAACCCAATCCAGAAGACAGGAGAATTCATGGAACTAGTACCACAAATTTTCCTTCTTGGAGGAATTTTTTGATTGGACTAACCCATATTCGTGTAACATCGATAGGAAAACCTCTCACGTTTAGCCTGATTGCAAAAAGACTCTAACACATGCTCCGTCTATCACTGAGGATACTTTACGTTAGCACTGTGGTTAGTGCGAGCCGATTGAGGAATCCGTTCAGACTAGCCATCGCAGGGATTTGACCCCGGTTCACCTCATTGGAAGGCGAACGTCGTATCCCCTGAGAGACCACGTCTCATGTTTTAAACATTAAAAAAGGGTTCTGTTAAGAAATGTGTCCAGCCTTAGCTACGATGCATTTGTAACAAAAATTTTCATGTAGTCAATCAAATCGCCTTGCACTGAAATAGGAACATGAAATAAAAACACCCCAGACGCGAAGAGACCCTTGATATAACTCATGCTACCGGCCATAGAGAAAGGCTCTATTCTCTAAAGTGTCTGCTAAAGTATCTTTAAGCATTCGGTATTATATTAAGGTCTGGAGATTGGGCTAGTCAATCCAATCCAAACATTTAAGAAAATCCTTGATGTGATGAGGCTTGTGTGATCAACTGATCACTCTGTTATCGTCAATCAGTACCAACTCTAAAGCGAAAAATAATTAAATAAATAGAATAAAATAAACTAAAACCAACTTCTAAGGTTTTAAGAACATACATTTATACTCTTACTAAACTTAGTGTCCGTTTCGAAAACATGGAGGGGCATACGGTCATTCAAGACGATGTATTATCATACGGTTAATTAAGACGATGCCGTATCATACCATTGATTATTCGTTTCGATAATCGTCACTTGCACGCATGCACATACATTTAAGAAGAATTAAAAATATAAAAATATATATTTTGAGTTAATATCAATATAGCTCTCATACCTCATATAATGCTAACAAAGTATTGCTTATTAAATGTAATTAGGTATACATTTTGATAATTTTTTTTATTTAATTTAGAAACATGTAAATACGACAGAGAGTGTCTGAATGGTGGAATCTGCAAGATCAGTTATGGAAGAGTTGGATTTTGTGAGTGCAGGGCAGACTACAGCGGAGATAGGTGCGAGATCAATGATATCTGTGATCATTTCAATGATGTATGCCAACGATATGGAGCCATATGCGTCATTAAAGACGGTTTGCCATCTTGTGAATGTCCTTCTGACAGGGAAGGTGTTACTGGACTTTGTGAAAGTAAGGAATTAACACTAAATAGCATTGTTGATTGAGACAGCAAGTATTATATAATTATTACGTTTTGCGGGGCTTGCGTGATGGATTTCAAATTATTAGCCAGTAAATTAGCCAAATATCAAAAGTATTCTCCAAATTTCAAACGTCTTTGCCAAATGCAAATCCTAAAAATTTTCTGTGATTAATATTTTTACCACAGAAAAATATTTTACGGTAGTTTGTTTCAGGCTTGTATTATTAGGACCCAATTCTAATTGGTTATGTGGCGCATCTACCAAAAATGACTGTAATCGAAAAAAAATACTGATTTGTTAGAAAATTTATTTCGACGTAATTTTGTGGATCGAGTTAAATGTATTTTTTTCTTTTCAGTGGAAAAAAATCAGTCACCAATATTTTAGCCAAAGCACATTTTTATTAGCCAAATTAACGATTTTATCGCATTTGGCGAGGTGCCAAATGTTTGGCATAGGGCCTTCTTTTTTGCATAAACCATTTAAATACGATAGAGCAAATACATTTAGCGTACAGAATATATATTATGAATAAATAAAACAAATCTACTTCCCCAAAAAGACAAACACTTCCTTTAGATATGAAACCACAACTGCACTTTGAGAAAATAAGAAATTACACTAATTACAGGAATGCCAGAAGCGATTATGCATAGATAATAACATAGATAATAATAATAAATAAGTTAAGTAAATCAGCTTTCGTTTAAAATCTGATGACTTACTAATATCAGGGTTGCCCCGATTGACAAAAAGTGCAACAAAAAAAGGGTGGTTAAGAAAATTCCAAATATCATTAAAAGAGATTAAAATTATCAAATTTTAAGAAATTTTATTTTTCAATTTAGTTTTGAAAGTGAATGCAAAGAGTATTTTGGCTTTAAATACTAATAATTTGAAATGTTAGTCTTAGTGTAGTTACGATTAACTAATTAAAGAGATAATAGATAAATAAAATGAATTGAGTTTCTACCTCTTTTAACATTTTTAGTCGCTTGTGGCATTCCTGTAATATGCACAGATACGACAGCATCACAAATTTTGTCCTTTCACTTTCATTCACCAGCAGCCAATAAATGAAAATTCGTGATTTATTTACTACTGTAAGTACTTAATTGTGAATTGTACAAGCAAGGTGCTTGTCTCCCTGTACCCCATAGACTGCTGAACTCAAACTGTATTTTATTTTAACTTTTTATACTATTTCATGATGTATGGGATATGGGCCTTCTGCGCGGCCCAGGTGCCCAATTTTTTATAAATAAATAAAGAAAGAAAGAATTGTGAATTGGCTACAAGAGTGCTTCGATTCTTTTTTAAATTTGGAAGAAATAAAGTATTCTTAACTACCACTTCTTTTTTTTTATTTTAACTTTATTTGATTTAGTAAATTTCTAGTAATCTTCAAAAGCATCTCTGTCTGTCAACTACAACGCTTCTTTTGGAAGACAGACGCAACTGGCGAACTTAATGTTCACCAATATTCATAATTGTTATGACTGAAAAATGTGCTTGGATATGAAACAGTTTTTCATTCTAAAACACTCTTTACTAATTTGTTCTTTTAACTTTCAGTTCTATTCTTTTCTTGGCAATGATTTAAAAAATGCTAGGAAATTATCAAATATCTGTGATAAAAGTGATCAATGGTTTTATATATCGTCCAAGAAATAAAGTACAGAGCGAAAAACAAATAGTGGACAAACCAGAATAACTTTTTATCTAAAGATCGGATCTTCACCTTCTAGGCCTCAATCTTAATAGTTTGAGGTGGCGACCGCAAATATGCTAATTAATTAATGCAGACGTTATTTTAAGTTACGAAATCAGACTCAAAAAACATACTTTACTGTAAAATAGAAGAAAGTCAGATATTTACATTTTGATTCCGCAGAATTAATCGACCGATTTTTCTAAGCATCAGACGTAGATCTTATTAAAGATCGGCTACAGTGGCATTCTCATTTGGGCATGCGAAGAACTTGCTCCAATCAGTTTCGATTTTTTTCCTTGCTTCTAAACATTCTTTCTTTATTTAACTTACGTTAAAAGTAGTTTGCCAGGAATTGCTACAAACTACTGTTTTTTGTACGACTTACTGGACTACTAAAAAGTAGCGCAGTACACTACAAACTACGGAAAAAAGTAGCAACTGCAGTAGTTTTGCTACTTCCAACCACTGCTTTCAATCCACAGTATAAACAACATCATGATAAATGTGATAGACTAGGACTAGTAATTAATAATATCATTATTAAAGGACAGTTTATTTCTTCAGTATAAAAAAAAATTAAGAAAGGGAATATTTATCTACCGTGGTTTTTGTTAAAAGAAGATTCATTTAGTCAAATAATCCCGATTCTTGTTTTCAGTGACAGTGGAAATTAGGCCGGGAGATATAAAGTCTTTCTGATATACAAGAAGTTAAAGGGCATTTAGAAAGTTTGAAATTTTGGTATTGTTTTTAAGATAAAGTTGAATGTTTGGAAATATTTTTTTTTAAAAAATGTCTTAATTTAAATTTCACTTTTTATTTGTCTAAAATCATTTTGCGTCTCGAAAAAAAATCATAATTAAATAGTCGAATCGTAGATATTTTAATAATTTATTTATTAAATTTCAGATATCTGCACTCCAGATAAATGTATTCATGGTCGCTGCGAGATATTTGGGGAAGATTTCAAATGCAGGTAAATCTGCCTGATATTCCTAATATTTTCTGAGCAATAAGGAAAAAGAACTATTAAATAAATTCGTATTGCTTAAGAACTATTGCCATTTTTTAATGTGTACATAAACTAATAAAATAAATGTAGTCGTGTGAGCTTATATATAAAATTAATAATGTAAATAGACTAAATACATTTAGCAAATTATAATTTTTTAAATGTTTTTCCTTTAAGGTGTGAATCTGGCTTTGAAGGAAAATACTGTGATAGCAAAATTGCACCTAGCAAACGTAAGTAACATAAAACATTGCTTCTGAGTTATAAATATTTATTTAACAATTTAATTTTAGTTATAAATATTTATTTAACAATACAGTGAGCAACGAAGAAAAAAAAACGGACCATCATCAATAACTTCTGATCTAATAACATCAATAACTTTAATCATCTCACCGCTTTTGGACTCAAATTAATGGTTCTTGGGGTCTATCTCAAATATACTGATTAATTGAGAAATTAACTAAACGAATTGATGAATAAAAAGTTGCATAATTAAAATTCGATTCCTCAAAAACTATTTGATGAATTTTTACAACAAATTTTCTATTTTTTCATGTAAAATTACGTTCTTTAAAATAATGTAAAAATTGTATACCTTACTATTCATTATTTTTTCTCTATTAATTAATAAAATAATAATAAAATAAATAATAATAAAATAATAAAAAAAATATTTACTAAAACTAATTTTTGAAGGTGTATATGTTTGGAGAAACAAAGCTCATAAATGTGTGCAATAAATTTTTAATTCGCTAAAAAGTTTACGAGATACGGTGAAATACGCAAAACGTAAAATTAACATTAAGGGGTCCGAGCTTTTGCCCCCCCCCCGACCAAACTATTGGCACCATATTTCCCAGATTGCGTCTACTCCCTATATTTCAATTTTTTTTTTTAAAGTTACATCACCTTTTACAGTAATGACGATTAGTTTTATAACACTTTGCTTATTTTAATTTAATAAAAAAAAGCTTATATTTATGTATCTATTTTTTATTTTTAGGTGATGGAATATATTTTATTCTGATTATCACTGGCGTAGTTTTCATACTGATATTTAGCATTGGAATGCTATGTATGGCAATTTATTTCAGGTACATGCAATTACTTAAAGATTTTGCTAATCTATTTATTTAAAACTTTGGAAAAGAACTACTAATAAATACGAGTATTTGCCGAAGATAAAAGTAAAGCAGCAAAAAATTCAAACTCATCAGAAAATATTTTTTGTTTTGAATCTATTTTGTTTTGAAATATGCTTTCTTAACTTTCATTTAGAGTAAGAATATACTTTAGAATATTACTTTTTACAAAAATATAAAAGATGCAAATCTCTAAGGTAGTAGAAAATTCATTGAAAAGATGTAGTATACAATAGCTTAGTAATTTATGTTTATTATATGTGAAACTGATAATAACTATAATATAAATATAGTGTAAAATAATATAATCTCATATATATATATATAATATAACAAAAACCTATATTTAATAATATATATATCATATAATATATATATCATATAATATGAAAATCGACTAAACTGACACAGAGGTGCCAACTTGCTCCGATTTGTAAAAAAGCATTTTCTAGTGATAACAAAATTAAGTTTTTTTAAGTTAAGTATTTTTAGAAATAATTTTTCACCACTACATATCAACAAATCAAAGTATCATACAAAATGCAACAGCATAGCTCGTTTGTAAGGAAAAATTAATTCCGCTAATACTTACATCTGTATTATTGACCTTATGAGTTTATACTCTACAGTGCGGACAGTGTTCTTCACCAGACACATAGCCAGTGCTATGATTTTCTCTTTTGACTACGGAGTCCTCCTCCTTAACCCGTTTTGTCCCGACTTTATATATTGAAATGATACAAGAAGTGGTTTTATGGAAAAGGTGGTATAATATATTATCGAAATTAATTGGTTTTCCTCACTGTTAGGCATACCCATATATGGCAAAGTTACTTCTAAAAAGTAACGAGTAAAAGTACAAGTATTTTTAAAAAAAGTAACGAGTAAAAAGTAAAAAGTTCTCAGTTTAAAAAGTAACGAGTAAAAAGTATAAGTAAAAGTACAAGTACTAAACAAAAAAAGTAACGATTTAAAAGTACATTTCTTGGAAATCGAAAATTCAAAGTAACATTAAATTTTATTGAATTATATTCTTATGTTCTTTAATATTTTTGCAAAATTTTTGTTATTTATTTAATTATTTTTAATTTTGNGCTGGCTTGCTGGTATGACAATTGGCAACAGAAACAAACAACAATAGCAATTTATAAAACGGTAAATTTTTTTACAAATAGTGGCGATAAATTCAATTTAAAACTAAATTTAAATATTCAAGAAATGTAAGGAAAGTACGCACTTTTCAACCAATTTAATAATAAAAATAAAATTAGCGAAACAATTCTAATGAAATTTGCAACTCGAAAGATAGAACTATTAAAATAATACCTAATTTAAAATTATAAATAAACATACAAATTTTTATTTGCAAAGCAACTTTGCAACAACAATTTAAGTATGAATTTGAATATATATGTATATATATATATATATATATATATATATATATCGAGAGGGAGATAAATAAACAATATATATGTATTCTTCTTTGTATTTTTAATATAATTTTAGGATCTTTTCGTATTTTATTTAAAAGAAACATTTAAAGTGGGAAATATTTTCTTTAAATTATTCTAATAATTTAGGAGCTAAATAAACAACAAATCGATCATATTTACACATTTTTTAATCATCAATTTGTGGTGGTAAGTTTAAAAATGTTTTTTAAACTTTAAATTGAAGACGGCTGAACAAGTTGGCAGTTAAGCATATGTATGCGCAAATCAAGGAAGTATGCATTAGGCTAACTACCAAGTATTGAACCTTCTGCAGTTCACCAAAGTAATTTATATGGTAACGCAGTTTTTAAAAATAAAGCGTGTTTCTATTTTAAATAAATTTACCATATATAAAACCTTCCTAATCTGTACAATAATTGGTTAACTCAAATGCATACATAAAAACTTTCGAATCCATTTGGAGAAAATCATGATCATTAAGTACCAATTTTGAAAAATTCAGAGTTGAGATGACCCGATAATTATCAAGACTGGTGGAATATAGCACGAAGTGATAGTTAATTTTTCTCAACACTACTGAAACATGTATGAATTTAACTTTCACTTGAATTCTGAACCTTTTAACAATCATATTCATATTTTTTTTTAATTGAATTCTTTTCTCATACATGCAATTGATAGAAACATTTGTATCTTTTTTAATGCCACTACCACTTCCGACACAGAAACATTTTTCATTTTGTAGCTATCTTTTAGCAAAATAACTTTCACCATAATTGTCAGGCTATGTGGTGTGCCAAGAGCTCTATGCTACTAGCAATTTACTATCGACTATTATTTACAATACTTGAATATGCGTTTCTCTCCGTTAAAAAAAAGAAGTAATAAAAAAATAGTTGTTCATCCAGTTCTTATATATATATAATAAAATCTGGATGCACAACTATTTTTTTATTACTTCTTTTTTTTCAACGGAGCGAAACGCATATTCAAATATTGTAAATAATAGTCGATAGTAAATTGCTAGTAGCATAGAGCTCTTGGCACACCACATAGCCTGACAATTATGGTGAAAGTTATTTTGCTAAAAGATAGCTACAAAATGAAAAATGTTTCTGTGTCGGAAGTGGTAGTGGCATTAAAAAAGATACAAATGTTTCTATCAATTGCATGTATGAGAAAAGAATTCAATTAAAAAAAAATATGAATATGATTGTTAAAAGGTTCAGAATTCAAGTGAAAGTTAAATTCATACATGTTTCAGTAGTGTTGAGAAAAATTAACTATCACTTCGTGCTATATTCCACCAGTCTTGATAATTATCGGGTCATCTCAACTCTGAATTTTTCAAAATTGGTACTTAATGATCATGATTTTCTCCAAATGGATTCGAAAGTTTTTATGTATGCATTTGAGTTAACCAATTATTGTACAGATTAGGAAGGTTTTATATATGGTAAATTTATTTAAAATAGAAACACGCTTTATTTTTAAAAACTGCGTTACCATATAAATTACTTTGGTGAACTGCAGAAGGTTCAATACTTGGTAGTTAGCCTAATGCATACTTCCTTGATTTGCGCATACATATGCTTAACTGCCAACTTGTTCAGCCGTCTTCAATTTAAAGTTTAAAAAACATTTTTAAACTTACCACCACAAATTGATGATTAAAAAATGTGTAAATATGATCGATTTGTTGTTTATTTAGCTCCTAAATTATTAGAATAATTTAAAGAAAATATTTCCCACTTTAAATGTTTCTTTTAAATAAAATACGAAAAGATCCTAAAATTATATTAAAAATACAAAGAAGAATACATATATATTGTTTATTTATCTCCCTCTCGATATATATATATATATATATATATATATATATACATATATATTCAAATTCATACTTAAATTGTTGTTGCAAAGTTGCTTTGCAAATAAAAATTTGTATGTTTATTTATAATTTTAAATTAGGTATTATTTTAATAGTTCTATCTTTCGAGTTGCAAATTTCATTAGAATTGTTTCGCTAATTTTATTTTTATTATTAAATTGGTTGAAAAGTGCGTACTTTCCTTACATTTCTTGAATATTTAAATTTAGTTTTAAATTGAATTTATCGCCACTATTTGTAAAAAAATTTACCGTTTTATAAATTGCTATTGTTGTTTGTTTCTGTTGCCAATTGTCATACCAGCAAGCCAGCTTGGGAATACAATTGAATTTAAGGCAGAGGGTGCGATTCTTGTTTTTCAGTGGCACACACGTCACATAATTCGTCTACCACTGATGTTATTTTGAGTCAGGTGCAGAATTCTTATCTTGGGATTCGACCCTGGGTCACTCATTGGAAGACGAGTGCTCTATCTCCTGAGCCGGCACGGTTCGGGTACATTTAATTTGCATTAAACTAAAATCCGCTTTTTCAGCAATAATCAGTCTACAATTATAGGAGTTCTAATTAGCATCCAAAAATACAGCATTTTTTTCATTTTTTGGAAGAACTTACAAAAAACTTTATAAGCTGCGGATAAATGTTTTACAAAATAACTAATGTTAAACTTCATAACTAAAAATAGGCTGATTCAATGCAAGACACATTGTAGTTCCTGATTTCAAATGCTTTTTTTTATTCCGATGTCAAAAAAATGAGGAAAAAACAAATGAATAAATAAAATAAGTAAATAAAATAAAAATTTGACTTCTAAAGCTTCCAGAATATAATAATAACGTCTGTTAGATTAACTACGAATAAAAGAAATAAAGTTTCATTTCTTATTACTTTATTTTATTTACAAAAATTGGGTACCTGGGCCGTGTAGCGACCCCTATCCCTTACATCTAGATATTTACGAAAACTTTATAGTAATAACATTTTGAATTTAGCAGTTTATGTGGTAGCTCCTCATTTCTTATGATACTTAGAAATTTATCATATACATTTGAGAATAGAATTTGTAGTGGTTGACGAGTAAATAAGACAAACCAATCATATACAAAATTTGAACAAATTTTTAGACATAGACTTGCTACCGCTATCTTATTTTTTATAGATTTTGAATTAAATGCTTCATTCGTTAACTTTATTACCTTCTTAGTGGTGTGATAGGACTACCTACGAAAAACCGTATGGAAGCTTTCAGTTATAGGAGGCGTTGGCTGAGCGAGTTGGCATCGTTACAACAGTATATATTCAGCTGTTTTATTTTTAGACATAGACTTGCTACCACTATCTTATTTTTTATAGATTTTGAATTAAATGCTTCTTTCGTTAACTTTATTACCTTCTTAGTGGTGTGATAGGACTACCTACGAAAAACCGTGTGGAAGCTTTCAGTTATAGGAGGCGTTGACTGAGCGAGTTGGCATCGTTACAACAGTATATATTCAGCTGTTTTATTTTTGTTCCCCAGGTGGTTATTAAAAATAACTGGTAGTCTTTCAGTATATAAAATCCTGAAGAGAGAATATTAAACTACAATTATTATTTTCTTCTTCTCTTTTTTTCTCTTTTTTTTGCAGATTGAAAAAGAAAGCTGCAGCCACTGATTTGGAAAGCATGGTAAATGATGAAAGAACAGAGACCAATTGAGTTAAACATTAACAATAAAAATATATAAAATTTTGCAATTTGCTTTTTATCCTTCATTTCTTTGACGATAGTTGCTAAGAGATGTATTTTTTTTTTTTCGAGGGTTATCATTATCCTGGAACAAGTTAAGAAATGCACGTTTCTGAAGAGTATTGGAAAGCTCACTGCTTTACTTTCCAATTTAGAAATAAATTATTAAATAAATGAATCGCTTTACTTGTGAAAAAAATTGGACAGGAAACAATTGAATAAACTAAACAGTAAACTTTCGAGCATCTTTTTCAGGAACTTTACCGCCAATTTCATATTTTTTCCAAAACACTAGTAAAACTAGATTTCAATCTAGAAAAGAAAAATTGTAATTTCTCAAATGCTAGTCACTCGACGTAATTTTTGACTAAGATTGTTATGTCATTGGTATCAACTTATACACATTTAATGAATATTTTTTTCGAGGGTTATCGTTATCCTGGGACAAGTTAAGAACTGCAAGTTTCTGAAGAATATTAGAAAGTTCGTTGCCTTACTTTCAAATTTAGAAATAATTTATTAAATAAATGTATCGCTTTTTTTGTCTGAAAAATTGGAAAGTTCTATTCAAAAAACAATTGAATTAGTTAAAAAATATGTTTCCGAACATCTTTTCCAGAAACTTTATTCCCAATTTTAGTTTCTTAAACCTTAGTAACCATAGATTTGAATCTGAGGGAAAAAATTTTGAATTTCTCAAATACTAGTCACTTAACGTAATTTTTGACTAAAATTAGTTATGTCATTGGTACCAACTTGTACACACATTTAGTCAATATTTTTTTCAAGGGTTGTCGTTATCCTGGAACAAATAAAGGACTGCAAGGTTCTGAAGAATATTTGAAAGCTAGCTACTTTACTTTTCACTTTAAAACTGAATTAATAAATAAATAAAATATGGCTTTTTTGTCAGAAAAATTGGAAAGTTCCAAAAAAAAGCAATTTAATAAGTTAAACAATGTGTTTTCGAACATCCTTTTCAGAAACTTTACCACCAATTTTATGGTTTTTATTAAAACACTAGTAACTTCAGATTTGAATCCGAAGAAAAATCGGAATTTACCAAATACTAGTCACTCAACGTAATTTTTGACTAAAATTAGTTGTGTCATTATCCTTTATACACATTTAATCAGGGGTCAGAAAAACTTCATTATTATTGTAGTTTACTAAAACTACTTTGTTACAAATGTTTAACTATGACTGCATCTACCTTTTTAAATGCAGTGATTGCAAACTGCTTAGGAATTAGTAACTGCATCACTACTTTAAGGGGTTCCCAGCAGATCACCGAAGTCAAGCATCACTGGCTACGGTCAGTGTGCGGGTGGGTGACCACTTGGATCAGTCTGCGTAGGGACCGAGGGTGTGCGGTATTGGTCCTCGTTAAACTGTGCTACCGTAAAGTGCTCGACTTCGCGCGCAGGTCGTCGGGCTACCGAAGCGGGGGTGCCATCCCCTCCGCAGAGGATCAAAATTGTGATGGCATGTCTTCGGATCATCCTCCGGGATGTTTCCCAGACCGTCGCCAATAGCCCATTGTGCAGCTCTAGTGCGACGTAAATTAACAACAATAACAACTACTTTAAGGAGGAGATCTTTACTAGAGATCTTAATTTGCACCTATGTTCAAAATGGTTCGGTATAAGAAATTGTCTTACGTTAAACAATGAGGAATAATTAAGAATTATTTATTCGTATTTACATAAGTCAGTTTGTTTTCAAAAAAAGGTTTTTTTTCGAATTTTTTTATTTAATTTTTTTCCCTTTTACGCCTTTTTCTACAGAAAATATTTAATTTAAGAAAGGAGAAGCTATCAAACTTGTATTTTTTTTACTTGTCTAATGCCCTCTATTTCCTCTATGAAATTAAGTACAACTAAAATACGCTGAAATATAATCAATGTTTCACAAGTTAACATTCGCATGCGAGAGTGAAGAAATGAAGTGATTAATTATACATTTTCCTTAATCGTTCCATTACCTATATTATGATTAATTAACTATTTGTCGTTATGGCTTGTTTATATATTTATACGTGATTTTAAATAGGTAATTTCTATTAAAGCTCAGCTTACAGCTAGCGGATCATTTTCAGTACATCCATTGACGAGCCCTCGAATATTTATACCCATCAAAGTCAAAAAATTAGTTGCCTTAAAGCCCTGTTACTTTTCATATTTAATGTTAAAAGTAGCTGACAGGAATCGCTACACACTACTAATTTTTTGTATCTCACAACATTACAAACTACGAGAAAAAGTAACAACGAGAGTGGTTTCACTTCATGTAATGCTGTACTTCCGACCACTGCATTTAATAAATACTTATTGCGTGGAAATAATTGGCGTGGAAATAAAAAAATATATTAATTTTGAATAAATTTGTTTCATTTTGTTATCACTAAAAACATCACAGCATTATTATCAAGTTTCCTGATACAAATTTAAAAAACATTTTAAATCAATAGTGATAAAAATTTTACTATACCAGTAATTTGAAGTTCAAGCATAAACTTCACTACCTTTAGGAAAATATCTTCCACAAAGAGCGTCAAAATTGGTACCTAGTTGACATTTGTTGAACAATCTCTTTTAAAAAGGAATTGATTCAAGAAGCTAATAAAAAACAGCAACGAGTAAAACGCTTACCAAAATATTTATTTTATTAATCCAAGACAACAATGGTACAAAAATATACTTTTTTAGATTGTATTTGTAAATATTTTACATGATAAATAATTTAATAAAATTATAATAAAACATATTCAGTGTGAATTAATGTGAATTTACACATTTAAAGTAAATTTTTCTAAAGCGTAATAAGGTAATATAAAACGTAATATTTTAAATAAAATTTTCAATAAAACTTAAACATTATAAAATGCAACGATAACGATACAGCACATTTACTAAGAAACAGTACAACAATTTCGATAACATAATTAAACATTAATAAAAAATTTTGTTTTTATTCACATAAATTTTAACCTACTCTTATAATATTTAATTCCAATATTCCAATAGCATCAAAAATTAAATCTAAAATATAAAATAAAATTTTTGTTCATTTACTTACACGCAACTGTAGTTATGTATAAAGTTTTCTTATGAATATTATGATGAGCATTTGAAGTTACGATGTGAAGTTTATATGAATATATAGTAATAATATACAATCAATATGAAATCGAGATTATTTATCTTAAATGTTTTTTTTTGTTCATGCAAATGAAAGAAATGTGCAATTTCTTGATTCCACCAGTCCAATCTTCAACTCTCAAAGGTTGCTGAAAATTGAATAAGACATTTCATTGACAAAATGTAAGAAATAAACACTCGAAAGGCAATTATTATTTATTTGCTTAGATAATTCTTATTTATTTATTTCGTTTTTAGTTTTTTTTATCGTTTCAGTTCTTTATCATTTTACTTATTTAATAAGAGAATTTAATTAAAAAAAGAGAGTTCATTTAAATAGCTTATTTTGAAACAATTATCATCCAAAAGATGTAATGATTAATCATACTAAAGATTTAATGAATTTTCAGGTTTCAGTTTAACCACTTCCCCTATTACCTTGAGTGACATCGATTTCGCATAAATTGCAATTATTTATAATCCCTCGGGAGGAATTATTAAAATGATTTGTTTTATCTCGTTTTACTAAACAAAAGAAAATATTCTACTTCGGTCTGCAGCTTTACAGAACAAGACACACCTTTTGGCCGATCGAATGTAAGGTTTGATATGTTAAAATCCCGTTTGAAAAAGAATTATGAAAATGATGAGTGTGCACGATAATGAAAGCGATGGAAAAATTAGCTCAACGTTGTAATTAGTGTGATAACTTAGAAACGTAAGCTCACGATAAAACTAAATGCTTTCTCACTTATTAAAAGAATAAAAATTAAAAATAATAAAATGAAAAGATTAGAAGAAAAATTATTGAAACAAAATGGCGTTAAAAAAATTTGCTATATGTACCACATACGTGGACCTACATGTCCTTGCCTGTATTATTTTTAAGTATTAAATAAGTTGTGAACGCCTTACTACGATCACTGGTTACCCATTGATCAAACACTTTTTCTTTCTGGATTGACTCCGTTTAACACAGTAACATTTCAAATCATGGGTTGCAAAAACTGTCCTCCATTGATGTTTGTCGTCGGATTGATTTCCATATCCTGAATATGTACGTGTTTCAAGACGTCACAAAATACTTTTCCTTCTTCAGCATTCATATTTATATTCAAATCTCAGTCAAACCAGTAAGCATACGTTAATACACTGCTGGACAATTGCTAAGGACGGATAACACTATCATCCATAGCAGCCTCAAAATGAAAGGAAGCAAAATGTGGAAAATTACGTTGATTACGATTTAGTTGACGAACTTGAAATTTTCGGCATGTCTTCCCGATATCACTTAGATGATTTTAAGCGTGGCCAAATTATTGGAAAGATCGAAGAAGGGCGAAAAATAACAGATGTTGCCAGGGAGCTCGATATCGCTCACAGCGTTGTTTCACGGCTGTGGAAATCATTTAAAACTACTGGAATGTGTTGTAGGCGGCACGGGAGAGGTAGTGTTAGAAGTACGATGCCTGTAGAAGACAGATACATCGTTCTATCAGCAAAAAGGAACAGGCGCACCACAGCTCAGCAGGTGGCAAATCAGTTTCTTGCTGCCACAGGAAAGCAAATCTCCCGAAAAACTGTTGTCAGACGTTTGAGGGGAGGAGGACTATACTCCCGCAGACCTGTTGCGTGTGTGTCCCATTGACCAGACAGCACCGTACTGCCCGTTTGCAATGGTGTGGTGAGCATCACAATTGGACTGAACAGGACTGGGCATGCGTACTATTCTCAGATGATAGTAGGTTCAGTCTGTCATCGGATTGTAGACGCCAACTGATCAGGCGCGAGAGTGGTACTGGTTATCGTCCAGAAAATATCCAGGAAAGGGACCGATATCCGACATGCAGTGTCATGGTGTGGGCCGGCATCATGATCAATGGCCGCACGCGCCTACATGTGGTTGCGAATGGGACTAAGACGGGCCAACAAAGCATTGATGGAGTTATACTTCCTCATGTTTGTCTTTTCCATGGTGCTGTCGGTGATTAATTTGCTTTTATGGACGACAACGCAACATGTCATCGAACACTCGCTGTTCAGGATTGTCTAGACAGTGGGGGTACTCAACGCCTCGTAAGGCCATCACGTTCTCCAGATCTAAACCCCATTGAAAATGTTTGGGATGCTTTGGGGAGGCAACTTGCTGGTCGAAACTATCCTCCGACTAACAAGAACACCCTCATCCGTGCACTGACGGAGGAATGGGATAAATTGCCTCTACAGGTGCTGGATAATGTTGTGCAAGGTATGATACGACGTGTAGAATGTTGCATCACACTCCACGCGGTGTACATATCCCGTACTGACACTTTTCTTTAAGTTGCCTACTGACATTTAGATGCGTTGTTCCATTTTTGCGTACGCAGCATCAAATGAACATTTTTTTTTCTTTCAGATGTTTATAGCTTTTGTACTTTCCAGAACAATAAATATTCTTTATTCTAATGTCTGAACAGTGTGGCAACTATTTTTTATCCTACTAGGCCTCATGTCTCGCTTAATGTTATGCTACATTGCAATTTGTGATCCGTCCTTAGCAATTGTCCAGCAGTGTAATAAAAAGAATATAAAAATACTTTAAATTATTAATACGTAAATACATAAAAATTTCCTGCTAGTGAAAATGAAAAGAAAAACAACCGCGGTCGCCATAGCAACACATGCAATGAGGACGCATGCGCACTGTTTACTATTACTCCAGAACACAGTTGATAAGTATGTGGACGCCATCAAATCCAAACCAAGACCCATTTGGCCAATGGGTAATAATTATTTCCGATATGAGAATAATCAAATGGCTCATTAAATTTTTTCGCATTATTTTTTCTTCTCTTGAAAACAAATTACTTACTTTTAATTAACAATTTTAAAATTTTCTTCTCAATCCTAGGTAAGTAACAGGCTAGTATAGATATTTTAAGTATAAATTATATTAAGCTTTAGATATTTCTAAAAACAACATAACTATTTACTTACTGAAACCTTCTAATTCAATTGTTGAACTGGCATCATTTAAGTTACTTGTCATATGAGATCTCTTCCTCAGTCTAAACAGTAAAAATAATGTGAATTATAAATGTTTTATTTTAAACAACGAACATATGAATCGAAAAAAAATGTTAATAACGGTTTACCGATTTTCAATTTAAATCAATACTATGATATGCAAAAGGCGTTCAGTGCTCCAAAAAAACAAAAAACAATCAACCTGAATAACTTTTGATCTAATGATCGGATCATCACGTTTTAGGAATCAATCTTGACGGTTTTAGAGGTCATCGAATATGCTAATTAAGTAGTGCAGATGATATTTTGAATTCTGAAATCAGACATAAAAACGTATTTTCTCTGGATAAACATACCCTTTTTTAACGGACTCGGATTTCTAAACCCTCCCCCCATATATAGGGGTAGCTGCGATCATGGAAATATGGTCCAGATAATTTGGTCAGGAGAGTGGTTCAAAATTTGGACTCATTAAAGTGAATTTTACTTTTCGCGAATTTTGCCATAGCTCGAGAACTTTCGAAGCAAATTGAAAAATATTTGCACACAATTATAAAATTAGTTTACCCAAAGATAAAATATAAAATTAGTTTACCCACGCAGAATAATAAATTTCAGTATATATTTATTATTTTGTATTATTTTATTTAAAAATAGCCAAAAAAAAACTTAAACAGTTAGGTATACAATTTTTCACGTCGCCTTAAAGTATCTAATTTTACATGACAAAATAAAAAAATTGAAAGAAATCAGTCGAATAGTTTCTGAGAAATCCAATTTCAAATATGCGACTTTTTTTATTTGTGTTCCATATTTTTGGAAAGTTAGGAGATGCATTTCGAATTTTTCATGAAATTAACTCTGCAGCAAGAATTGTGGAAATCGAATAGTAAATTTTAATTTAAATATTAAATTTATAAAAGCATCATTTATAACTAGAAGAGCCAAAGGTGTCATTTGATTTACAATTTTTCACGTCGCCTTAAAGTATCTAATTTTACATGACAAAATAAAAAAATTGAGAGAAATCAGTCGAATAGTTTCACAAAAATCCAATTTCAAATATACGACTTTTTTTTTTTTTTTTTGTTCCATATTTTTGGAAAGTACAGAAAGTTAGGTGATGCATTTTTCGTGAAACGCATTCTGTAGCAAGAATTGTGGAAATGAAATATTAAATTTTAATTTAAATATTAAATTTACAAGAACTTCATTTCTAACTAGAAGCCGCAAAGGTGTAATTTTTTTTTTGTTTTTTTTTTGCCATCTCTTATGTTGTTATAGAAGAAACATGAGAGTTTCGGGGGATGGAAAACTTGCAAATGACTCACAATTATTTTATATATTTATGGTATTGCTACATTCAATGCCTGGATAATTTTCAAGAAATCTTTCGTCACCCTAACTGTGCTTTGTGAATCATTTTTGTGGGAGTTAGGAATCAGTACTTTGAGCATTTGATCGGCCCTAATTCTTTTATTCCAGTTTATAGGATAAAACATACATTTTAACATTGCAAAAGGCAGAATAAAACTAATGGTATTGATGAGAGATGCTAGAAATCAATTAGTCGATGTTTTGCTGTCAACAACAGTGTCTAACTTATAACGGTACTTCCTCATTTTATAACCTGTTATATACTAACACATATAATTTTTTTTTGTATAATTTGTTTATTTATGTATTACTTGCAGTCCTGCGGAAGAATAATCAGCAATACAATATCACGCTACATTGTCATATTTTTATTAAGTCCATAAAAAATATCAAATCTCCAAAAAACCTTATCTATTGTACTCTTAACAGTATTCATCAATTAAACAATCATTAACTTTTTAATGAACAATTTCCTACAAGGATCAAATTAACTCTTTTTGGTGGTTTTAGGTAAATCCAAAATCCAGCTGTTTTAGTGTTAAAATCTATTCGACAATTCAAATTTAACTTAGGATATATTTGTTTCGCTTTATATTATTATGCACATTCATTCATTTTTTATTAGTATTTAAGATATACGTTTAAAAAAAAAGATTTACTGGAGGTGATGACGGATTTCTACACAGTTTAGATTATAATAATTAGAGTAAAATAATTAGAATAGAGAACACTTAACAATAGTTTTTAACCTTAAAAAAGATCAGTGTAAGGAATGCGATACTTTCTCTACGTTTTCCTACCTGCAAATGAAATAATAAAATATCCCATGGGGAAAACCTCCCGGATTTGAAGAATACGTATTTTGCTTAGGCCCAGATGCAAATTTTTTTTAATGCTTGGTTTTAACACATACGCAATTGAAAATGTGCTAAAAAAGTTGTTTAATACTTACACTCGGTATTTATGAACCATTAAAACTGAAAACAAAATCGAGAGAATGCCAATGATTGATATAATTATGAGAGCAGTTCGCATAGCCGTAGCACCTAAAAAAGTAATTCACTGAATTATCTATAAAAGTATAAGAAATTTTCTAAGATTTTTTTCTGATTGTTATAAGTCACGTATATATATATACATATATACATATATATATATTTATCTATCTATCTATCTATATATATCATAACTGATCGGTCCAACTGCANAAATTTGTTCTTATGATCAAAATTTTACTTTTCTCTGTGAATTTTTCAAACTAGGATAAATTATTTTAATTATTTATGAGTCTATTAAATATTAATTTGTGATAAATTTGTAAGGGCTCTAAGCTCTTTATGTTTTGCAACTATTCTAAAATTTCATGTCTTGGAACATTTTTTTTTTGTGAGAAACTAAAAGAAAAAAAACCGCTTACGACACATCCATCAGACTCTCTGATGACCCTAAACTGACAGCAAGTATAAATATCTTGATATTGACTGCCACTTTCCTCGCCTTTTCAATGCCTCCTTTCACACAAAACGACACCATTCCGCCAAATCCTTTACATTGCTTCAGAGCAAGTTCATGCTGGGGATGACTTTTCAGACCTTCAAGAAATATTCACTTAATAAGAGTTCGCAAAGTAGAAGGTATGAAAGCATTATATGAATCATAAAATAATCGTGATTTATAAAAGTTACCAAAATCGAAATGATAGTTTATTGATGCCAAAGCTCTCTGAAATGGAAAATAACTATCACAAATATTTTTATGGAGGTTAATCCTGGAATATTTGTAAAGGTATTGAAGTACTAATTTTTCCAAAAAAAGATTTTTAGAAACTTTTAGGATATTTCGACAAAACCGAAAGCTTCAACGTTTTTTAAGTTGTAGGATTCCAACTAAAATTATTTAAAATCATTTTATTAATCGGGATTTTTTTATTCCAAATCCAGTCATTTGTAAAACAGGTGGCTTAATTTTAGAGTTGTGAATTTTAAGTTATTAAGTTACAATTATTGTGAATTCTAAGTATAGAATAATAATCATTAGAAAACTTCTTGACTGAGATTTTTTTTTTAATCTTTTGAAATGTCTATGTTTTAATACATAGAATTATAAATAAATTACTGTATTTTAATCGGTGTAAAGGTAGACCTAATAACTCAGATTTATTATAATAAAAAAGCGCAAAGCAAGATGATATATATATATATATAGATAGTTAGAGAGATATTATATATATATATATATATAAATATATATGAAAATCCGGAAGAGTTGGCAGGTATGAACTTTGCCGATAGGATTTTATCAGAGATAGCACAATGATATTTTTAACCTTGCCATACATTGTTCGCAAGCGGATCACGTAAAATACGTTTTTGAAATCATCGCGATCCATACAAAAGTTTAAAAAGCGATAGCAAAACGGCTTTGTTTCCGTTAGTTTTTTAAAAGAAATTATCCATTCGTGATTACCACAAACATAAGTGATTCAGTATATATGTAATCAGTACTTCAATCTTTCCTCATAATTTTTTTTCTTCCGAAATCGAAGTTGTTGCTATTGTGACAAGTTTGCTCCAACTTTAATGAAGACTTTCCTATCACTCTCTAAAAATTTTAATCTATGACTGCTGTAATACATTTTTCGAAAAAAATTGCCCTCATGCAATGGGTTAAAACAGGTATATTTGTACTTCGGAAAAGGCACCTAACTTGTTTTAGAGAGCAGTATAAGAACTGTCCTTAGGAACTTTGACTACCAATTATTAACATTCATAACAATACATACGACTGTTTCTTGTTATTAACAGGAGTCTCAAAGGTCCACCAAACATCTTCTAGTTGTAGTAAATTACACATCAAAGCAATTCGAAGTTTTTCAAAATTCTTAAAAACTTGAATTTCGATAATATGAGTCCAAATAGCCTGGTTGGTAGGACACTGGGCACATGTTCAAGAGGTCGTGATTTCAATCCCCGCCGACCGAAGTGTCCCCGTGTAGTAAATGGTTACTGATTGATGCACGTTAAATGGTTACTGATTGAGTCACAAAGTCCCCCATGATCCTATAACAAATCATACTTTTGAGGGTACTGACCCAGGAGTTTCCTTATCTTCTGGATAGGTTCAAATTTATAAGACTACGGAGTTGAACATTAATAGTCTTAAACCCAAAATTGGGTCGGCTGTTCAACGACGGTCATAAAATAAAATAAAATTTAGATAATATTATTCAGCCTGTATCAAATTACTATAGATTAAATAGGTTTTCAAATTTTTGCGATGATCAAGAAATATTTAATGATCTACTATTAAAAGAACGAAATATATCTTATGGTGTAAATTTTGCAACCTTTCTAAAAGTTTTTGAGGAAGTTTGGGTGACTCTTATTAAGAATAATTGATTATAAATTTTGGTATTTTAATCGTTCCGGAATCAAGTTAGAAAATAATGGTTTCGCCACCAAATTTTTCACTTTTCCGAGTTGCAAACATTCATGTTAATAATATATTTCATGTGAATCGGTTGTTCATTAGTTACATTATAGTTATATAATACATATTTTTTAAATTTAATGTATGCGACTTTATTATTTTAAATGCTACTGTATTTTGTAGAGATATAGTATTTCTGACTGTTGCGTGAATTTTATTGCAATTTAAATGAGAGCAATATAAATTGAATTCAATTTAAAGGAAATATCATTCCAATGATAAATTTACGGAGAAAAAATATAGATTTCTAAATTTTTCGTGAAATAAAAATTTAGCAATAATAATGAGTTTTTTATTGTCCAAAATTAATGTAATCAAATAATTGTGTAAAACTAAATTAACAAGTAAAATTAAACATGAGAATAAAAAAAGATCTTACCAGCCATATCAACCTCTTGTATTTCACAATTAAATCCAATATAGCCTTTTTCACATCTAGAAATATAAAATTAAAATTAACAAATTTAAAAATTATTAAGAAAAATATTTACTGTGAAAAATCATTTAAAAATTTATTTCACGCTGCTTCTCCTTATAGTAGAGTTAAACGAAATATTACAGACAGGCCAAATTGCTTCGGACAATTGATAAATACTTTGCTGAAATCCGGTGCAATTGCATTGCTGACTTAACACTAGATTGCCTAAGGAAGTCATTTTGACTCCTTTTAATTTCAATTAGAAAAACAATGATGTATATTATGACACAATTCTTAGAAATTTGTACAACATATAATTTTTTATTGTTAATATTTACTAATAACTTGTTATATAACTGTAAGTTGTATTAAAAAATATTAAAAATTAATTTTAAGAAAATTTCTTTACACATTATTTATTCTCTTACAATCCAGTTATTTTGAGTGCTTTTGGGCAATATAGGTATATATTAAATTTCAGTGTTTCTAGTGTTAATCAGTTGTGAGAAATTTCTATTTCACTCTTATATAACAAAACAACATTTATTTATTTTATGAAATCTTTATATAGGGCTACCAACAGCAACGTTTTTTTTTATTTGTTTAATATTTTAGAGATTGATAGACAATTAAAACTGAAGCTTAAGAAATGTCAAATTAATTTTATTAACAACTTAAAAAGCTTACCACGAGACCGTTGGAACTAAGGGCATTTTATATGAACTCTTGAATCATTTACAAATTGTGATGAGAAAAACAACATCATAATGGTAGCAACAATTGTGGTACGAATCAAAGATTCATGCTTTAAGACATAAGCATTGTTACCACAAGAAGAACATTTTCCAAAAGACGTAGAAAGTTGGCAGACCTGCTTTATTTTTCGTTACCCATGTGACCAGCTAAAATAACATACTAGGACTTTTTTTTTTTCGAAGAGATCAATGGATAAATAATCCAGAACCTCTCATCAATTCTGACCCACTTTTATCATAACAGTTTAAAATAACCACAGTTTTTTTTATCTCGTAAATAAAAATATCCTTCGGAAATCAATTTATGATACTCGGTAATCGGAAATTCCACGGACGTTCGAGACAGGTATTTACAGTACAATGCGTGTTTCAAAAAGTTGCATCATAGCGGTAGAGGGCGCTATGTATGGCAATCGAAACAAGCTGGCAGTGCGGAAATTAGTCATCCCCCGCGTATCGATACAAGTGGATTGATCGACGTGTGTCTCTCCCCTGGTCGTCATGATCACCAAATCTGCCCTGCTTGGATTTGTTTCTATTGGGCAACTTAAAAGCTTCATCTATGAAACTTCTGTGGACTCCGACTGAATTTTGGGTTTACAACTACCAATGTTCAACTCCGTAGCCTTGTAATTTTGAACCCAATGCAGAAGACAAGGGAGCTCTTGGATCAAGTATTGGGAGAAATTTGCCTTCGCGGAGGATTTTTTGATGGAACTAACCTGCATTTGCATTACATAGAAAGGGAAAAAACGAAAACTTCCCACGATTAGTCCTACGTTAAGGGGACTCTAACCCATGATCCGTCAAAAATTAACAAATTTAATGATTCCCTAAATAGATATCAGAATTATGACTCAAATCAATTATAATGCTCATTTTGTTAAACTTTAACAAAATGAGCAGTGTAACAATTAAAATTAACAAGCAAACTTTAACAAGTAATATGAGGACAATTTTCGTCATTCCTGTGGTCCATGCGAGTATTGCGCGGATATCGTACCCACCAGTCATGGCTGGGACTCGAACCCTGTCACCTCATTGGGAGGCAAGGGCTCTACAACCTGAACCACTTACGGCTCCCGACAATGATATTTGTTGTTTCGGATGGAAATGTTAGCTCGGCTTAGTTTTGCGCCGTTGAAAGAGGCAGTGATGTCAAATTTATGTAACGCTTAATTTTCCCTATTTTCTGATTTTATTATATTTTTTGTGTCATTCTTTTTCATATTTCAAAATTTTTTAATTTCCTGAATTTTTGCGTTTCTTTTACGGACGCAAATTGTATTACGATTTATTTAATCCGTCCTTTCTAACCCTTTTTAAATTTTGACAAGGCAATTTCGAATCACTCTGTTTGATTTAATCTAAATATGACATTAAAATATCTCAGTTCAACAATAAGCATTTAAAACTACCACACATAAAAAAGTAAATGCAGCAAAAGAGTATGTTTCACCTTTAGAAAAAAGAAGAAAAAAAAGGTCGTTCGAATAAAAATTTCCATAGTTCGCGTTTGAAGCTTTAAATATCCTTTGTGACTATTTACAGTTTAATTAAACTTCTGAAACTTCCCTTTCCTGTTCGTATGAGTTTGAAAATACTATTTTACAAATTCGTGGGGAAAAAATAAAAACATCTATTGCGGATTATTTCGCAAGAAAATAGTTTGTAATTTGTTATTTTACAATTTTTTATATTTGTATAGTAATAGTCAATACGATTATTAATATTAATTATTAATTGATTATAATTTAATCTCTAGAAACATTTTTATTCATAGTTTTATTAAAATTCATGTTGCATTTTAGAATTTTGAAAGCTTTTCACTTAAGCGTCCCTTTCATTTATGCGCTTTTTTTTTGTTGGTCCCTTAAACCGGGCATTAAGTGAGAGTTCACTGTAGCAATAAACGCAATTTATTGAGCAAAGATGTAATTTTTATGTAAAAATTAAAAAAAAAAACTTCGAATTTGAAACGTGATCCCAAAATTTAAATGTGCATGCTTACTTGCAACGATAAACTCCATCTTCAGCTTGGCATCGCCCATGTTTACATGTTTTCTGATTGCACATTTCTTTGAAATAAAAGAATGCAATGTTATATAGTAAGATGAATATATGCATGTAAGAACCGTAATTATCCTTATTTTACAAGTTTTGCTACTTAATACGCTGCCAATTTATTAAAACATTTGCAGAAAGCGTAGCAGTTGGCATCCCTGCAAAAGAAAGAACAACAATTATGGCGGCTTCCTGAAAAGTGGTCTTACGTTAAACGTCCTGGTGCGTGGAGGCAGCGAGTACGTATTTTACTGTAACCCTGGACGCATCTTTGTGATGGCATTCTGTAAATGTGTTTTATGTTCTTTTATATTATATGACAAGGACTTATGTCTTCTTCTTATTCTGCATAAGGCCTACCAAGGACGTCTCAGTTACTTTACCCCATCCAGATGTATTCAATGTTATACATCTCCCACTATTAACTCTCAAGTTCTTTAGCTACTTCTCTACTCTATTTAACTATTTTCTTCTATTAGAAGGTAAATGTTCTTAATACGTTGAGCACTACGTCAGCCATCGGTGACTGACACTGGACTTTCCATTTAGGCCACGTCAACCACCGGTGGCTGACACTGAAATTACGTTTAGGCTGCGTCTGCCTCCGCTTGCTGACACTGACCTTTCACATAGGCCGCTAAAAAACAGATATCTGATAGCGTATATAACACGATAAAGAACTATAAAATTTACACTTTTTTATAGAATTGCAGAAAATTTATCCAAAATTTACTTAATTATTCTAATTCTTGGTTTAATAATTTAAATTTAGTAGATTTTTAGCCACCACTATTTTTAAACAATTCGTAGTCTTATATAATTCACCACTTTTTTCATTTATGTCGTGCTAAACCTTTTAAAACTAGAAAAATCTGTCTAATATTTGCAATTTTAGTTTGTAGTTAAATACAGTTTGATCAGAAGGGCAAGCCATGTAAAATTAGCGTGGCGTTCAACGTGTTAATAGCATTTTTATCGCTATAAGTGCACCAAAAGTTTTTCTTAATATTTTTCTCCCGAAAGTCATTAGTTTCTTTTCGTCTGCTTAGTTAATTGCTGGGATAAGGTTTATGAGGTAAAAGGGCTTACAACCTTGCATACAAGCAGATGGGTGATAAAATAATATTTTTAGAAATTTTGCCCTTTTTATCCATGGAAATTCGGATCGACCAAAATGAGGAAATGAACTAAGAAATTTCTTTCTAGCTTTAATAACAGCAATAATGAAATCATTTCAAAAAATCACAATATTTATATTATAATGCTTTTCTTATTACGGATTTGCTAAGAAACAAGCTTTAAACTCCTATGGCTTATTTTGGTCTATGCAAACTTTTTATGAATTAAAAATACACCATTTTTAAAAACTTCAAGTTGTATAAAATTATAGAAAAACTTTTATGCTAACTTTATGTAAATAATTTATCTTTTGGCAGCTAATAAGTTGGAAAATTTTGCATGGCAATACTGTTTGAAAAATCATCACTTAGAAATATCATTTTTACCAATGCAAATTTCGGATAGACCATAATTAAGGAAAGGAATTTTTTTTTAGTTTTTGAAAACATTTTGAAAACATTTAGGATGCTGAGAATGGGTGACATCTCGGCATTTGGCGCGAAACGCCATTAGCCGATTCATCTATACTTATTGTCATAAATTGAATCGGCATATGATATGATAAAGTAATATATTGATGAGAAAAATAGTGGAGAATATCTCCGTATTCAAGAGTAAAAGTGAATTTTCACATAATAATAAGCATTGAATACACATAAATAAGCATTTAGTGATTTCAAAATCACATCGTTAAGATTAAGAGATAATAAAAATGAAAACAAGAATTGATATGGTGTTGAAAACATTTAATAATATTGTGATATTTAAATAAGAATGCTTTTATAATTACAGTGTTAATAAAAAAAAGAAGCTTTAAACATCCTATGCTCATTTTGATTGATGCAAACTTCACATGGGTAAAAAGGACACCATTCATTCAATTTACGTAAGAGAACTTTTTCTAAGGATGTGATAAAAATACTTTCCCGGAATTTTCGAGGTCCATTCTAAACTATTTTACAAATTTAAATTAAAATTTCCGTTTCTTAATAACTTCAATTATTATTGCGCACATTTGAATAAAATTAGTAAATATATGCCGGTTTTAAAAACGTATTAAAAGTCGTAATATGCATAATTCTTTTTGCAGTTTGTAAATATTAATAAAATTTCTTGTATACATAAAAAAAAATCGGTAAGTTCCTCACTTTTTTACAACACCTAATGGGCCGTGATATATAGAAGCCTTTAAAAATGGCGTTGAAACTTAAATTAATTGTATCGAATAAGCTAAATAAGTTTTTTTTTTCCTATATTTTATATACCAAAATTTTTAATTTTCTTTTACTAGAAATAAATAATAATAATAAATAACTTTCGATTGTATTTCACACATTCGATTATTAGTTCCAACATTGAAATCACATAAAACTGATCCTCTTATAAAAGTGTTTCTTCTTCAATGACATTAAGAAAAAGGCGCAAAAGGGTCAAAAATATAATTTATCCGACTCTATTATGATGGTATTCGTTTGCACAACTATTAAATTTTAAGGGACACCGGTGTCCCTTCTATATATATGATTTTTGAGTTCAAGTAGTTAAAAGAAAAAATATTTATTTGTATTTTATTTCTCTTATTACAAGTGAAAATAAATTTTGTTATTTTTTAATTATGAAAATTATTCTCATAGTTATTAAAACAATCTGTTAGATTATGAGAATTATATTTGCACTGAAATATTGTGTCCAAAATAAAAGAAGTTTCGGGAAAAAAATTTTTTATTCATATTCAAAAAGTTATCAAAAATTTATTTTGCAAATTAAAAGAATTTCAATGATGATATATATTTTACTTAGATCAAAAGAACTTCAACTAAGTGCAAATTTGAAAAATTATTGCTTGAAAATGAGTTATACTTGGAGAATATTAATTTTAAAGCAGAAAAAGGCACCGATGCTTCATGCTGTATTTCATAATTATAATTTTTAAAAATGCTAAATATTTTACCTATTTTGAAATAAATTAATACGACAAATGAAATATATATTTAACAAAAATTCTGCATCGCAAAATTAACGTGAATTAAACTGACCAACAAATTCTATTCGCTAAAGATGTTTAAAAAAAATTCTGCATCACGAAATTAACTTGAGTTTAACTTAGCAACACATTCTTTTCCCGAAATATATTTTATAAAAATTCAGTCAGTCACCACTGTCACCTGTAAATTTCCTACCACTCTAAATGTGAAATTTTTTTCACCTTGATGTTTAGTTAACACTTCATTCAGTGATTTCTCTTCTCTTTTCTTTATTTAACTAAAATTGGGTGCCTGGGCCGCGCAGCGGCCCCTAACCCATATATCATGAAGTATTTACAAGTTGAATTAAAAAACATTTTGAATTATGCAGCATTTAGGCATACCCTCCAACTTATGAGGATTTTGAAAATAATTCTTTCTAGTGGTAGCAAACCAAAGTAGAAATTTTTAAAGCAAATGGATATCTCATAAAACTTTTATCAGAACTTAAGAATCTAGCCATATGGCCTGCACTTTTATAAGTAATAGTGGACAAGTTACGCTAAAATTAATTTTTTTTAAATATTAAGACATTAATTTTGCTACCGTCTAAAAAGAAGATTTCTGAAACTACGAAAATTCCGTAGCAGTTGGAGGGTATGTTTAGGTAGCATTACAGAAGATCAAGCATATTTGCTTGATAAATTAAACATGATTTGATATTTAATATAAGTCATGATTTATGCAATAATCAGAAATTTTCGTGAATATGAAAAGCACAATTGATATTTAAGCATTGATTGGTATTAAATTTGATGCAATCATAGGTTGTGATTAAAATATGAATTAAATTAATATATAAACAATTACAATTGATATTTTAGCATTGAATGGAATTTAAATTTGATGCATTCATAAGTAGTGATAAATTATGAGTAAAATTAGAATATATGCAGATGCGATTGACAATTTAGCATTGAATAAAGTTAGAATTGTGTAATTTTAAGTTGTAAAACAAATATAACATGATATATGATAAATTTACAGAAGTTTTGTTTAATATTGGTATCGCCATCTATCGGATACAGTTTGCAATTTAATTGAGCTGTTCTACTTTTTTCATTGCAGAAGAGTTTGATAATCTACATATTACACTAATGCAAGAGTTCAGAATGAATAGTCCGGAATTGGGCATGACTATGACATTATGGAGCATTATCTCTAATGATTCTTTGCAGTAATTGGAGTACCTCTTCATTCTTTATGAGTTTCTGCAGTTCTTTTATTATTATGACAAGTCTGCGAGCCATACCGGCTGTTGTTGTGGGAATCGGGCGAGAGCCCTTCCTAGTGGGACGGGCTATGCACCCAGTGTAGTTTGCGGTGTGGGATTCACTACAGTTGCAACATTTTGGTGGAGAGTGTCTGTCCTTTCTGCATTCATGGGAGCGATGATTGCCAGCGCATTTCACACATCTTGAGGCAGCGTTGCATGATCTTTGAGTGTGGTGGAATGCTTGACAATTAAAACATTGAATTGGTCCACGACCCCCCCTAAATCTCTCTATTCTGACTGGAATACTTTGAATAGTGGATTCAGTGATTTCCGGGTATTATAAGGTAAGTTAGTAAAAAATCTTTCAAATTGTTAGTGGTTGCGTACACTTTTTTAACAGCTGAAAGAACTTCGAGTGCGAAGGGTTAATATGAGTTCACTTACCAACACAATTTGTTCGCTTGAGGTCTGCTGTTTCGGACGGTGCCACGAAGCCAGGTTTACAGGTGCAATCATAGTCACCAACTGAATTCATACATTTTGTGTTGTTTGGACAGATTGATGGATTAAGACATTCATTGATATCTATGAAAATGACAAATTCTTTCATTAGAGTAAGTTTAAGAAACCAAGTTTATATATATATATATATATATATATATATATAGTCAGAGCATAATAATATGCGAGTAAATTGTCTAAGTGATTGGAAGAAATACGAAAAATATTATCTTTATCACCTTAATAATTTTTGGAATTGCACAGGGTTCAACATTTCTGAAAATTTACACAGATAAATTTGGTTGTACAAAACTTCTTAAAGCTTGTCAAATATATTAGAACAATTTCTAAAATAACACTAATTTAGTCACGATAAAAACTTGTTTTTCATAAAACTTGAACCTTTGTAACTTTTTATTCTCTCTTTAGTTAACAAATGTTGTAAACCATTAAAAATCCGATATCTATCACGAACTAAGTCTTCTCCTTAAAATGTATAATATATATATGAATAAAATATAGAGTCAATATACGGCTTTCTATCCATATGTGCAGGCTCTGACTTTCAAATAAGTCGCCCTATGAAAGATGGAATGCTAATGAATGCTAATTCCTTATTTAAATCTGTTATTTAAATTACAAGGATTACTTATTTTGAATGTTTCTTTTTTTTCAATTAAATTTATATTAGTATAATAAAATGCATTTTTTTCGTATTATTATGGGTTTTGTTAAATAATTTTTTCGAATAAAAATTTTTTTACTAGTTTTTCTCATAGATGGAAGCACTGGAATGTTACTTGCATCCTTTTTTTCGACCAAATATATTTTCTAATTTTATTTTGCGCGATTCAAGCTATAAGCACAACTTTGAAAATTTTTCTTATTCGCGAAATTTGTTAACTGCTAAATTAGTATTTTACATTTAAACCATATTTTTTACTTTGCTGTACGCCGGTAAGTTTTGTTTCTGCTTTCTTTCATTTCATACTCTTTTGCAACTGAATTTTTTTAGTGATCTCATTATAATTAATAATATTTATCTTAGGATAATTATTCTTTATTCAGAAATATCGCATTAAATTATAGCCAAAGATTGATCCTGAGGAAGACTATTATTTTTTCCAATTAATAGTTTTCAATTTTATATTATTTTATTTTTTATATTATTTTATTATTATTACTTGTGTTTATATATATATATAGATACATACATAGTAAAATAGTACTTTAA